ATAAAGTGTTATATAAATGTCGGCAATTATTATGATTATCACCAGTAAGTAAACACTCTGTCATCTGCATATGGTCTAGAGAATAAGGACTGCTGATACATCTGAGAGCTTGAATAACTAAAACATGGATGATTTGGAAGAATGAGACTACAGCAAAGCATATTTAACTTTAAAATTCTAATGCACATCATTTGCTATTTGATGATTTCTTATGAACATCAGTTGTTCCCGAATCATAGCTGTCTGGATATAACTGGTTACTGAGAGTTACAGATAAGGGGCTCTTGGACAACAGAGCAAAAATCGTAGATATCCTGGAGTATATGTCAGAATGATGATTTTGGAACTCATATAAAGAAGAGAGAGAAAGAGAGCTGATAATGATCTGTTGTTCCATTAATGGTGAGCTCAACAGTGACCAAAAAGAAAAGGAAGTGGCAAAGAAAAAAAATCACTTAGAGGATCAGGAAAGAGAGAGAGACAGAGAAAGACAGAGAGTCAGAGAGACAAAGACAGAGAGAGAGACAGAGAGAGAAGGTGGGAGAGAGAGGACAGACAGGGACAGACAAGGAGGGAAGGAGAGAGATTAAGGAAAAGACAGTAGAGATATGATTGCAGGAATGATCTTAAGTAAAAACTTGGACCTTAAGCCCCAAAGTTGAAGGATTTATAAATTCTCTTTCAGTTTTTACTTTTAGGCCCAAGAAACGTTCACTTCCTTTGACTACCTAGTTTGCTGGAATATGATATATTCCTATTAGAATAATCTAGAAATCAAAATTAGAATAATTCAAAAATCTGAACCTTTGGGGTATTTTTTCTTTGTATTTTAAAAATGTCTAAGTACATCATAAGGTTAGGGGAAAATTCCTACTAGTTAAAGTTATTTCCAGAGACAGAAATGAGTGTGGGAGGGAAAAATACACCAAGATTTACCCAGATGAAAAAAAATTCTCTTTTTGGCATCTCTCAAAATTTTAACCCAGTTCATTCAGTTGCCTCTTGTTGGGAACCAGATATTTGTATACTTGGAGGTGGGGGAAAATTACATGGCAAAATCTCACAAAATGGGAAAATTTTTACAAATAAGGTTGAAAAAACTTTTCAAAGATTATGGTTTAACATGTTGAAATGTTGAAAGTATGGATAGGTAAGAAGTTAAAAAAGATCAAACTTAAAGCTTTTCTCCTTTGCCAACTTATATGTAGGCAGCACAAAAAGTCAATTCATTTCAAAGACATCCAGAGCAATAACTTGCAAATGCCACGTGCAACTAATCACCACGCAACGGATGGGTTGTTGGAAGAAGGAAGTTTGGATATATGTGTGATCAGATCTGTGTAGATACATTTTCTTATATCCAGTAGTGGTTTTTGCCATGACAGTTAATGTTATCTATCCTAACTCAAACCTGCTTACTTGCTTTTGAGAAAATGGCTGCCCTCTTTAATGTCCTCGGCTTTCTTTGATAAAGAAAATTCTGGGATATTAAAATTTTTCCTTTTTCCTTACTTTACTAGCAATTTGAGAGACTGAGTGGCAGTTGATAAATGGTGGTCATTGGAATCAGGAAGACTCGAGTTCAGTCTTTCCTTTGACATACACTCTGAAGAACTTCAGTGTCAACTGAGAGACATGGGGCATGCTGACATAGGACCGCCCAACACGGCATGCCCACATCAAAGAAGGTACTGTACTCTATGAGCAAAGCAGAATTTCAGTAGCACAAAGGAAGCGTGAGATGTGCAGATCTAGGGGCATCTTCATCCCAAATGTTTAAATATGCTATTTGTGCCCAAACCTGTGCTAGAACCTTCCAAGCTCACATTGGGTCAATCAGTCACAAACACACTGTACTTTGACTCCAACTTCAAGGTGTCATTGGTCCTCTTCCAGTACAAAAGACAAACAACAACAGCTAGGTGTGTGACCATAGATTTAACTGTAACCAAGCACTTAAACTCTTTATACCACTAGACAACTCTCTAAGACTACAAATCCCCAATTTACATGGCTGGAGGAAATTTCTATGCTGAGATTACAAGTCTGCACCCCCTAAAAATAAAATCAAAACAATCAGTGATACATAATTCTATTTGTATTTATGCAGTGCTACAAAAAGATAATCATTTGGTGAAATTATATTTTTCCTTCTCTTAATTTTTAGAATTTCAAGTCTCTGACCAAGAGTAGGAGATTGAAAGCTGATCTTTATTTTTGAATCTTTGGAAGGCAACTAGCCACTCTAATTAATTACTCCTGGTTACTATCTTCAGGCTTTGAATTCTACCTCAGACTCTCCCAGGTTCCTTCCTTGGCTTTCTTCCGCTTTAAACTGCTTTGGCATACACAATGCAACATACCTCAAGTTGGCTCTAGCTATGAATGCTTTGGTAAGATCCCAGGTACAGTGACAATCTATATTTTTGCTCTAAATCCTATTTAAGTGGGACATGTTTGTGTTTGTGGTAAGATTTGTGACTAACTAGGAGCTTCTTGTGGTCAAGAACCATATTATGTTTCATCTCCCACAATGCCTAGCACAGTACCAGGAAAATAGTGGGTGCTCAATATACTTGTTGAGTTTAATTGAATTGCATTAAGATATTTCTGAAAAGAGAGAGAGAGAGAGAGACAGAGAGAGAGAGAGAGAGAGAGAGACAGAGAGAGAGACAGAGACAGAGACAGAGACAGAGACAAGAGAGAGAGACAGAGAGAGAGAGACAGAGAGACAGAGACAGAGACAGAGACAGAGAGAGAGAGACAGAGAGAGAGAGACAGAGACAGAGACAGAGAGAGAGAGACAGAGAGAGAGAGAGAGAGAAGGTTTGTATGTTTGGGTATTAGAGTGTGAGTGTATGTGATGTGATAGGCACTCTGTGAAGGTGGAAAAGAAGGGAATGAGAAATATGTCTCTTGGTTTAAAAGTATATGAGGGCAGCTAGGTGGCGCAATGGATAGAGCACTGGCCTTGAACCAGAGTTTAAATTCAGACTCAGACACTTACTAGCTGTATGACCCTGGGCAAGTAACTTAAACCCATTTAACCTCCAAAAATAAAATTATATCAAATTAAAGAAAAAGACTTGCTGAAGGTATAAATATACATGAGGGGGTTAGGCATCGAGTCATAGTTTATAAAGATCTGGCCTCAGAATCAGGAAGACCCTAGGTTCAGGGCCCACCTTTGATGTATGCTTGTTGACTGTGTGATCCTGGACAGGTCACTTAATCTCTTAGTGCCCCAGGTAATTTTCTAAGACTATAAATTGCAAAGCAATTGCCAACCTGCTTTGGTCTGGAGAAATTCCTTACTGGGATTTCCTGATACCAGTAAGATCATAGGTCCCATCCTCTCCTCTCCCCCCCCCCAAAAAAATTAAAAATTAAGAATCTGTGAGAATACTGGGGAGGAAGCAGAATAGGGATACATGTGAGAGATGAGGGCATGTGTGTATTTATAAGAAAGAGTGTGTATATGTGTGGATACTGTGAAGGTAAAGGAATGAGTGGATACTTATTAGGGAGTCAAGATGAGGATTCAAAGTTAAAGGAGCAGATGGGTGAATGTGAAGATACCAGTATGTTCTGTTCTTGAAGTGAACTTCAAACTGAGGCTAATTTAAGGTCATTTGAGGGGAGGGGGAGTCCTTAAATCACACACAGAGACCACACCAAGCCATTGGCTAGCTATCAAGTTTTTCTCTTAACAACAGATAATCCAGCCTCTACTGAACTTGTCCAGTGTTTCATACCAGCCCTTAGCCTTCACTCAAGTCATAGCATTTAAATGGCCCGATGATCTCTTCCCTTCCCTATGTGTTGCAGTACTGAGGGTCCCAGGGAGAGCTTTTCCCTTAGGTCCCATTGCAATGGTGCTTATCATTCCCTCAAGCTGCCCTGAGTCTGTTAGTGGCAAGATCTGTCAAGGGCAAAGGCCAATCCTGTTTCCTCTCTAGGAAATGGGTTTTGAGTGCATCGGTTATTCAGGAGGGAATTTGATGCCGATTGAGGGAACTGCTGGGTCCTGTTCATGAGGTATCTGGGAATGGAAGGTTTCTGGGACTGTCAGACTATAAGGAATGACTTCCTTATAGGTAAATAAAAACAAGCAAAAAACTGAAACCTAACTAGCTATAAGCTCTATAGAGCAGAAACAGTGGTGTTTAAATTTTGCAGCTCTCCTAGCACCTACCTCCAACAATGCTCTATGCTTAGGCACTTAATAAGTGTTTGTTGAATGAATGAATGAATGAATGAATGAATCATATCCTGGGGCTTTGAATTCTTCCAAACATTGACTATAGGTGAAACTCTCTCTTTGCAGGTCATCCCTGTCTTTCCTGTCTTTATTATACTTATTTGTGTCCTGTCTCTTTTCCAAGACTGGAAACTCTTGGTAGACAGGGATCATGTCTTATATATCCTTGTGTCTTCAATGCTCAGCACAGTGTTCTTCATTGAACAGGGTTTGAGTAAATTGTTTTTTTTTAACTTATAATGAGTATGAATACACAGATGAATATATTGTGAATACACAAATTATTATGCTCCAAATTCAAAACTCTCTTCCCTAGTTATTTCATTTCTAGTCCTCTATATCCCTAATGGAGCATCCTTCAAGCCTATCCTGTGGACTACTTGTCTGGAGGGAATAAAAGCCAGGCATTCCCTGTTGAGGCACCTTTGATCACCATTTTCTTTAAAATAAAATTGTAAAGAATATCTTTGCTGATTTTGCTCCCTTAAAAAAAAAGAGAGATTATATTTGGGTTTCTTTTAAAGTACGCATATATGCATTCAAATATAGACATGAGGAGCTCTGCTGTTCAGAATCTCTAAAGGACCCCCTCCTTTACCCCTTCTGTAGCCCCCCAGCAAAACACACACACACACACACACACACACACACACACACACACACACACATACACACACACACAGGCATACACAGAGTAGGATCTTGGGCCAGGAGGCTCTGTCACCCCACAATTGCTCACCTCAATTGCCTTGTAGAAGATACTGTTGCCAATTTGTACCACCTCCAGATTTTGCTCTTGCTCGTTTCGGGCACATTTGATATAGGTCATCCAACTTCGATGATCTTCTTGGCTTGCATCAATAAAATATCTAACTGTGCCATCTTCATTGAATACCTGGCCATGGGAAGAAAGGAGCACAAACTAAGAAATGGGAAGGCTTGTTGCAAATATTACCTAGTGAAAAAAGCAACAGACATGGAAGTCAGAAGACCTTAGTTCAATTCTGGCCTTTCCGACAATGAAGTATGTGGCATTGGGCAAGATATCACCTCTCTGAGCTTCAGTTTTCTCATCTGTGAAATGAAGAGGTTAGAGTAGATTGCCTCTAAAGTCCTTTCCTGATCAACTAACTGTGATCCCATGATTAGTAAACAAACAAAGCCAATGGTGATGATTCATAGAATCTTGGAACTGAAAAAGATTTCAGAAAGCATCTTGTCTGATTTATCTTCACCATACCTCCAACCAGTAGTCATCCAGCTTCTGCTTTAAGACCTCCAGGGATGAGGATACTACTATTTTTCAAGGTAGCTCATCCCACTTTTAGATATCTCTAATAGGAATTGTTTTCTATAAGAAAACTATAAGCTATAATCTCACTCTCTTCAATTGCCATCTACTGTTCTTAGTCCTTGTCTCTGGAGGAAAGCAGAACAAGACTAACTCCTCTTCCTCTTTCCAAAATAATCAGTGAGAGCTTTCCATGAGCTTAGGGAAGTGAAGCCTCTTGAGTTTGCTTCCAGGCTTTATTGTTGAATCCCTGAGAGAGCCTGGTTCCAGATGCCTAACTTTGCTTCTCTGTGAAATGGGGAGAACAACCTGTATCTGCTGTCTTAGGACTCTAAAATGTTCAATAATCACTAGTGGTACTTCTCAGCTGCTACTATGTAGCCTTGCCTTTCCCAAGTAGGGAGTGGAAAAGGAAAAAAGAAACTCCCTTTCTGCTGCCAATACTTGGTTTTGAATTCTAGGTGCTCCTTCTGAAAACTAGAAGCTTCCTCAAATCATCTGATTTGGACAAGTTGAATGATGGTTGGGCCAGTAATCTAGGGAAGAAACCCCATCACCCTGGGGTCAGGAGGTCTGGGAAATAAGGCACCCATACAGCAAGAGAAGCGAAGTTTTCCTAGCCCATTCCCATTCAATTCAGGAAGGGAATGAAAAGCCCAGGATGAATCATATAACATGGCTCTCTTTCATTGCAAATTTCTCATTCACTGTATACCATGTACATCTTTATAAATCTGCGGATGGAAAGGTGATTAGAACATAGAATGTCAGAACCAGAAGGGATCTTAGCATATAAAATGCCAGAGCTGAAAGAAGACCTTAAGAACACAAGATTCGAATTGGAAGAGACCTAAGAAATAATCTAGTTCAATTTTCTCATTTTATAGATAGAAAACCTGCGGCCCAGAGAGAGGAAATTATTTTTCCAAAGGTTATCCAGCTAGTGGCAGGCTCAATCTAGAACTTGGGTATTCAGGGTCTCCTCCAGAGGTGTGTGTGTGTGTGTGTGTGTGTGTGTGTGACATTCAAGGCCACAGATTCACTAGGTTCCTCTACATCAGCACGTGCATTTTTCCTGGCCTTTAGTAAGGTTTTGATTTAGGGAATGGGGAAGAAGGAGAAGGAGAGGAGAGAGATGCTTTGTTGCAGAGAAGGCAGGTTTTATGGGCCTTCCAAAAAAAGTGGGAATGCACTCAGTCTGAGGTGTATCATTGGAGCTGCTGGGGAAAGCAGGAAAGTTTGGTGAGTGATTGACCCCACAGCTACCTCTGACCCCCACATGGGGACTAATGTTACTGTTACTGTTATATGCTAGCTGGGAGTTTGGGTGGGGAATGGCAATTTTTGCATCAGTATTTGTTTGGACTTAACAGGGCAAGCCCAGTACTGTATGTTTCTCACTGTTAATCTGAGTGTCCTTTGCCCTCTAAACAAGAGGAGAACTAAGAATTCAGTATGTAGCACAAAACCTTTTCTGTTCCTGTTGGTGCCCTGCCCTGAGAGACTTGACTATCCCTTCAATTCGGACTTCATAGATATCTTTGCCTGGTAAGAGGATAAATTGGTAGTAGCCCCTCAGCTAATTCAAAGTACCTGCCCAGGGAGCTAGGTCGCTAGGAGGGCAGAAGCTGGTTTACCTGCTCTCCAGTGGAGCATTATTCCCAGGCCCTCCCCAGATGAATACCCTTTCCATTTACCTCCCACATCAAGTTGTTATTCTTGCAGATGTCCACGTGCTCCGGAGAGATGACCCTGCCTGTGAAGGGACCCATCTCAGTGCCTGCCTTGATCCAAGTCTTGGAGAAGATACCCAGGCCCTCCCCGGGGATAGAACTCTGAGCGATAATCACTTCGGATGGCAGCACCAGACTGGACAGCTTCTGCACCTCTGCTGGGTGGAGAGAGGAGATGAAATGGGGCAGTGAAAAGGCTGGGGAGGGCTGCACAAGAAGGGGTACCAACAGAATATTTCAGTCACCTTCCCTCCCAGACCCTAGCCTTGTCTCCTTCATCTCCCCGTCGATTTCCTGGACGACACAGAGCTAGACTGCAAAATGAAGGGACAGAATCGAGGCCCTGGTCCTAGAGCAACTGTAGAGTCAGGCAAGGAATGGAGAGGATTCACAAGGAAAAAGCAAACCGTCTTCCAAGGGGCTCCATTTTCCTGCAGGCAGTTGCTAACAGGGGAGACGCCAGTGATCAGGCAGATCTTTGGAAAACTCTTAGGGGGGTTCCATAACGGGATGCCAGGACACGAAGAGAAGGAGAAAGACACTAGCACTATTATACAATACACAGTAACTTCTTCTCCCTGGGCGGAGGCTGCCCCATCGCGCACCAGGATTGGAAAGTCCAAGCCTAGCTGGGCCTGGATCAGAGTAGGGGTGGGGGTGGTGGGTGCGGCAATCCCTTCAGGGTTGATCTTCGAGCCTCAGGCGGACCTGACCCCCGGCTGGGATGGGGGCAGCTAATGCACATTCCGGATCCTACAATGTGTTACAAGGTTCCCCTCTAAGCTACCTGGGAAAAATATATGAGAGCGCAGAGACTGAAAAGGGGGGTTAAATGGTGTCTATTTCAGCCCATCCAGCAATTTGTCACGCTGTTAAAGTGATCTGCATTCATTAGGCTCAACTAGAAAGAAATTGCTAATTCTAAATTCATTAGCCCTTTAAGAATGCTGTAGCAGTAAATTTGGCCTCACTGCGGAGAAGACTTGTTTAAAAGGGGCCGAGGAATTCCCCTTACAAAATGGGGAGATTAGATGGTTGACATAGTGTGAATGGAACTGGAATTAGTCTTCACGCTAAATTAAGAGAGGAACAGAAATCTTAAAGGGGGGAAAGAGAGGGGGACGCCCAGAAATGCCAGCGAAAGGGAGAGATATTGTTTGCGGGTTGATGAATGAGGAATAAGAACTTGAGACATCTTAAAGAAAAGAAACTTTTTTTCTCTCCTCTCTCCCCAGCCCTCCCCAGTCCCTCTTCCCCCTCTTTAAAGTTTCTGGGTTTAAGTGGGAACTTTCGCAGGTCAAGCCCAAGTTAACTAAATGAATTTAAAACCCTTCTTTTTGAGTCAACTGCTATTACACGCCTAGTAAGGCCTTAAACGCCGGGGACTTGGGCTCAAAGGGGGTGGGGGCGGGGAGAGGGGGATCAATGGCCGAGTGGGGAGAGGGAAAGGGGAGAGGCTGTGGGACCGGGAGTGAGGAAGTCAATGGAAGAGGAATTCCGAGAACTGGATTTTGGAGAGCTCCAAGCGCTGGGGTTTCAGAAAGTTGTTCCTAACCCCACCCCACCCCATCCCCCGCTCCTGCCCCCAGGGAGGGCTAGTGTCCCCTTCGCTCCCACCCCACCTCTGTGTGAACTCTGGGACAAAGAGCTGCCTGGGCTTCTGTGCGTTCGATGGGCTGGGTTGAGGTGGGCTGGGCAGAGAGCCGTCCAAGGGGGCATCGAGGTATGTAGGTATCAGGGACCGAGCTAGCGGGGACCCTCTGGCTTGAAAGGGAGCGGGGGGCGTAGGCGGTAGCTGTCGCATCTTAAAACCGCCCCGGGGAGCAGGGCCCACTCACCTCCGGAGAAGGACTGTGCCAGCACCTCTGCGGTAAAGGCGGTCTTGGGGTTGGCGTGGTGAGACTTCTCTTCGAAGAGCTGTTCGCCCAGCACGTTCCGCCAGCGACCATATAGGAAACTGTGCAGGATGTCCGAGGTGATCACCTCAGCCAGCGACAGCCCTTGAGGCTTCAGGCCAGTCTTCAGCACCAGGGCTTCCGCGGGGAGCACCGAGCCCATCATGAACCACCCCGTCCTCTCTGGCCACTCGAGACAGCAATGGGCTCGGGGGGAGAGCAAGGGAGGAAGAGCAAGAGAAGAGAAAGAGGTGGAGAAGGAGGAGGTGGAGGAAGAGGAGGAGGAGAAAGAGGAGGGAGGGAGGTGGCCGAGAGAAAAGGGGGCAAGAAATGAGTGTGTAAGAAAAAGCGTCAATAGCCAAGTCTAGGTAAAAATATATATATAGAGAGAGATAAATATATATATATATATATATGGATCTTATCAGTGTTTGGAGATGGGCTTTCGGGAGAGCTTTCGCCTTTTGCTACTCTACACCTAACAGTCTGCCACTTGGCAAATTCTCAGCCCCTTTATAGGAGCCGCAGTGACCCTCCTAATTGGTTATTAATGACCCCCCTGACGTTGTAAGATAGACTTGTTCTAGCAGGGAGCGACAAACCTAGAGGGGAGAGAACGAGGAGAGAGGGGGGAGAAGGAGCCCCCTCCTCACCTTCGTCGTTGTCGTCTTCCCCCTCCCTCTCCCCTTTTCCCCCTCCCCTTGTGGGAAGGGCAGAGGGAGAGGCAGGACCAGAGACTAGATTTATCCCAGGATAGAAATAGGGGAGCGCGCTGGGGAAAAGAGACTGCACTTGAAACCCGCTACAAGTCTGCACTTCTCTAGATGAGTTGGGGGATGGTGTTGAGGAGTGGGAGACAGATACAAACAGAGAGACAGACCCACATATAGACAGACGCACACACACTCTTCCGGGGCTTGTTGCTGCCTCCAATTGCCCCAATAGGCTTCGGATGCCGGAAGGCTATTACTACTACCCAGCCAAAGTGTTTGGCCTCGGGACTGGACAGGGCAGGGCAGGGTTGCACTCCTTGGCCTCCCGTTTCTCCTCTCCCCAGCTCTCGCCCCAGCTTTGAGGAACTGGGAAAAGGGTTCTTCGTGATCTTCTCTAAGGAGTCCCCCAACCTCAGTTTCCCCACCTGATGTAGCCCCATACTGCATTTCCCCTGTTCCTCAGGTCCCCAGCAGGGTCCAGCTCTCCCAATGCTTCAGCTGGGGTTGCCAGGTAGTCTCCTCTTTCGAAAGCGGATCGTGCAGTTCGAATAAAGCGGGCCTCCGGGATCCGAACCGCCAGGGAAACGAAATCCAAGTCTGGGGTCAGTGTGTGGAGCCGCAATCGCTGCAAGGCCGTCGGGGACCGTTTGAGCAGAGACGGGGGCCTAATAGCTGGAGGGATGGGGCGAGGAGGAAGCTGTGGACGTTGGTGCCCGAGATCTCACCTGTTTGGGATACTTATGGAGTGAATCCACTTCCCGACCCGTCCCTGCCTTCCAGTTTTGTCGGGGGTGTCACATACTAAATCCGGGTTGTTTCTTCAGATTCCTCAACCGGATCCAAGCTACAGGGTCCAACTTCTGCCCCTTTTCTTCCCAGCCGCGGGTTTGGTCAGAGTCCGAACCAAACAGAACCGGACCAAGTTGGTCTCACTTCCCTATCTTCCTCCCTGCCACGGGTCCAGAGTGTCGGCCTGGGGATAAGATCGCCGGGCAAGGCGTTCAGGTGCGATCTCGGGGGACCCCGGGCTGGTTCTCCAAAAAGACAAGTAAGCGAGATTGCTAACTTGCTCCAAACCCAAAACCGAGGCTTAAAACAGAACCTCCACAGCTGGGCAGGCCGGATTCCCAAACCCACCAGCCGGGCGAAAGCCCCGGACTGTCTTTGGCTCTCTGCCTAAGGCCTACCCTAGTCTCAAATCTCTTTGCTTCGGAGGCCAAGAGAAGCCTCCGGTTTCAGGTGCTCCGACTTAAGACCAGTGCGTCCAAATGGAATTTTCTCGCCGGCTACTTCTGCCTCCCTCCCTTTTCTTTTCCGTCTCTGTCTCTCCAACCCATCACTTCTTTCCCTCTACAGCTTCTATGTCTCCTATTCTTTCTTCATTCCCTTTCTTTCTCTGTCTTCTCTTTTCTGTCCCTTTTCTTTTCTTTCCTCCTCTCTCCCCTTTTCAGTCTCTCCTGCTCTTTTCTACCCCGTCATTATTTATTTTTATCCTCTCTTCATCTCCTTTCTCTCCCTCTTTTGTCTCTGTCTGGATCCCTCTCTGTCCACGGAGAGGCCCAGAGAGAGCAAAACAAGGACTCCAACCACTATATATGTCCAGGTAGCTAAAGTCACCGCTGGCAGCCAAGGGTGTTTTTCCCATGAGGAAAAGGTCCCTCTGTCCTGGAAAGATGAGAAAGAGGCTTTGCAGCTTTTGAATAGTAAAGCTAGAGCCAAAGAGCCTTCCCACCTCCTCGTCCCCCATTAGCCTAGAACAGGATAAACTAGCTCTCAGTTATCTCCTCCCTCTGTCTCCTCCCCAATAGATCTGGCCACAAGCTCGAGGGCCCAGCTAACAGGTGGTCATGAGCATCACCACCAACCTATTTTATGGAAATCAAGTGGCCCAGGGGCCAAGGACTCCTGGTGTCCCAAATGCCTCCAATCTGAGGCTTCTGGACCTTTGGGGTCTTGGGGAACCCAGAGGCTGTTCCATTGGCTTCCCTAGTTTGGGGGCTACTGGACCCCAGTTAGAAGTGGACTAGGAGAACAGAAGGGAGGGTGATCTAATGGATATGGAGAAGCTTAGGGACTTTGGGCATTGGTCACCAAGCAGATCTCTCTGTGCTGGTACAACAAGGGATCTGGACCTGACAATTTTGTCCTTCAGGACAGCTTTCCCAAATGGGAACTTGGAGCGAAGCAAGCCATGCTCCCGGGGCCTTCACATGTAGTTATTTCTGAATACTCATCTTCAGGTCAAGGGCCTCTGATAAAACAAAAACAACAATAACTAGACCAGTTTGGAAGCCCTTTGACTAGGATTTACCCTTAAAATAATGACTATTCTTGTCCAGAGCAGGAGGAACCCTTGTCACCTTCCTTCCTCCATCTCCAAGCCCCAGTCACACCCTCGTTCTATCGCGACTATTTGCTGACTCCAGCTGGGACATGCTTTAGTATTTGGGGGACCTGGAGTGATGTGACGGAGGAACCAGGTAAAGTTCTGTCCCACGAACACCATCATCACTCTTTCAACCAATTTACTGCCACCAGTGAAAGAACATGTGGGACCCATCCTGTGCCATCCACCCTCCTCACCCCAGCACTTCTACACGACGTGGGTGGTGGCTGTCCCCGTTACTCCCACTGGTCCCTTAAGAATGATTTTGTTTTGAAAATATAGAACATCGCCGTAATCAGAAAAGACGCCGCCTGGGAAGCGTCCCAAACTTTCCTGGAAAGAGGAAGACAATGGGTAAATTGTATGCATCGCAGGATGCAGGCAAGGGAAAAATGCGCCACCGAGGAAGTCTAGGTCTGGATCTCTCTTGTAGTGTATACCTATTTGCCCATATCACAGTAAAGTGGCGCGCGGCTCTAAGTACACAGCACGCCCTTGCTAGGCTCCTAAACCTCTAGACTTCTCCAGCAGACAGTCACGCGGTCAGGAAAGAGAGGGCAGAAGTTGGGAATGATAGCGAAGGAGAAATTAGAGAGACCATCCATTCCAATACTGCCGAGTCAAGTTAGAGAGCTTGTGCGTCTGCCTTTCTCAGTACAAACGAACAACGCCGAGTCATTTTGCCCTCTCTCTCTTTCCTCCATCTCTTCCAGAGATGAAGAATTTAGGGCCTGGAGAAGTACGCGAAACCCTTTCTTGCTAGAGATTATGGGGGTGGGGGAGGGGTGTCCTTCGGCAGGTAGATACGGGAGGTGGGAGGAAGGTTCAAATATTATCAAGTAAATGGATAACTACGATGCTTAGGAAACTTACGGAGTTAGACACTTGTCTGTGTCTCCGTATTAAAACTCGTACATTATCAGGTTCCAGCTTACAAGCCCCCGAGACAACTTGAAACACATTTGGGGATGAAAAGGAGGAGAGATACCCGGTTTCTTTGTATAGGTTGGGTAGATGGGGAAGGGTAACCCCTTATGTCCTTCTGTGGCAGCTGTTTGGTCCCTGCAGCACCCATGGGGGCTAGGACATCGGCCGGGGAAAAGGGAGGGAGTAAGACAGAGAAACAGAGAGAGAAAGGGTGGGAAGTTAGGGGGAGTGAAGCTAACGGCTCCCAATTTTTAGAGGAAATCAATTTAACATTCATGGCTTTTAATAGGAGAGAAACTTTTCCCCTTTCTGGGGACATTGTTGTGAATTGTCTTGGGAGTGGGATGGGGGGGCAGACCATAGGCTGGCTTGTATTGCCATCTGCATATTTCCAAAGTCTCCTCTCTGCCCATCCCCAGAGCACTTTAATATTCATGGGTGTTAATAGAGAGGCCCTTAGTATATTGGGCTATTGTGGGGAAGTGTTCGTATTGCTCTTCCTCTGAATAGCCCCAGTTCCCCTTTCTTTGGAGATGTTTTCCAAGGTTGATGGGCCAGGAGTGAATGGTGACTTTTTCCCCCCTCCCTCCTCAGCCCCCCTTCCAGAGAGAACATCTTTATCCCAGCCGCAGCCTCTCTGGTTCCCCATTCACGGCGCTCTGGAGCTCTGGCAGGCCAGAGAAAAGTGGAACGAATCAATCTTTCACGCTCCTTTTGAGGTCAATTTGACACCCAGGGGCTCCGCTTTTCTTCCAGGAGCCCGCGAGGGGATGGCCGGCTCCGGACAACGTCGGGGCCCGAGGAGGGGAGACTAGGGGCGGCCAAGGGGCCGGGGGAAGAAAAGATAGCGGGAATGGGGGACAGAGGCAGGCTCAGGCTGACTGATACTGCAAGAAAGGGGATTTGAGCCCAACAGCTGCTTTAGGGAAGGCGGGGTTGTGGTGGTGGTGGGAGTGGAAGGGGGGAGGGTTGCGCCCCTGTCAGACCTTGTCTCCCTCTGGATGAATAGGATTTGGAAAGACCTCAGATTGATTTATATTTATGGCTGCCGAACATTTATTGCTGGGCGAGAGCGGAGAGGAACTAGGGGGGCTGGGGAGGGTGTTGGGGGGCCACAGGAAGGATCAGGCTGTCAGGGCT